TAAAACCTCTGCCAATATAATTTTCTCCACAATAGCAACTGAATCGATAAACACAGAAAGAGATGGCTAGTCTAGGTACGTTACCTTTCATTGAACATTAGTCATTTCAACATTAACAATTTCATTCTATTTTACAAATAATTCTAAGTTCACATGCGATAATTTTAAACGAATCATTTGCTTTAACCTGGTCAATTTTTTAGATTATAAATGTGGATATATAAATTGTAGAACTTGATGTTAGTCTGGCTGTAAAAGGTCGGATCTACAACGCGACGGTGAGAGCAGTTTTGCTCTATGCTTGTGAAACCTGGCCTCTCCGAGTTGAGGATGTTAGACGACTCTCTGTGTTCGATCATCGTTGTCTCCGAAGGATTGCTGGCATCCAGTGGCAACACCATGTCAGTAATGCAGAGGTTCGGCATCGAGTGTTCGGTCACAGAGACGATAATGAAATTGGTGTCACCATCTTGAAACACCGACTTCGGTGGCTTGGACATATTCTACGAATGTCGTCCCAGAGAATTCCACGTCGTGCATTATTTGCCGACTCTGGGACTGGTTGGAAAAAGCGGAGAGGTGGTCAGTATATGACATGGTGTCGTGGTATGAAAGAAAGCTGAAAAGGGCTAGCTTCTGTTGGTCCTTCACGACTCCCTGGTTGGGGTCCGAGAGACGGTGTAACGCAGTGGCTAGAGACGTTATCAGATATGGCTCAGAATAGAAGCCAGTGGCGATCATGCTGTAACCTTCTTTTACTTTCTTCATAAAAAGTGGTTGTATCTTCCTTAACTGAAAGATCTCTTCTGAGTGTACCTTTCCGTTTCCCCCACCATTGTTCTCTCTCTCTTTTTTTTTATAATTCCCCACGTTCATTACTTTTTTTTCCTTTCTGCTTCTCTTCAAATTCTCATTGTTTTGTGTGGCGCATATATATTTGGTGCCCCTCTGTACCAATATTTATGTGTTCAAATAAAATAAATAAATAAATAGAACTTGATAAGAATTTACTCAATAAAGTATTCCATGTCCATATATCTGTGTTTTCTAAATTTTTGAAATATTTACCAGCTTACTGATAGAACTAATATTATGTACAAACGTATCTAGCTATGTAATTCACCAATGAACTTCAATTAGAAAATTGAACTAAATAACTTACTTCAAAATGTTTTTGAAGTTTTAACAGATTTTATAACTGATAGAGCTCACATATATATATTGATTTTTATCATTTCTTCTTATCTTATCTTCTTATATAATTTTTGCAAGTCGTTAAGTAATAGACAAGATGAAATCCACTATTTGTTTCTATGCATAACATGGACAAATTCAATTTTAGCTTATATATATATATATATACAATTTATATTGTTAATCATAGTACAAAAGTTAAATATCTTTAATTATAAAACCCATAGAGACATTATGAATGGTGTGTCATTGGTCAAAGCATTTGACTTTCAGTCAATATCCTGTAAATTCTAAGTTCATTTTCCATTTACAGCAGTTTGGACAATCGGTTAGTGTCATTAAGTCTCCCAATTAAAATATGATTTGAAATAAAGTACAAAAATTCATACAGGTTATGTGACTTGAGATTACTGGAACGAAAACATTTAAATGTTCTATTTTTAAATAATTAATAAAGGGTTTTTTTTAAACAAAATATTTGATTCAATATATGATCTAGTTTTTTTTTGTTGTTGTTGTTGAGTTATTATTCGAAATACAATTATGTAATTGATGATTCTCATTTTTATCAGAAGGGGTTTTGTGGAGATCTTTGTAATTTCAATAGTTGAAATCATGAGTCAATTGAAGTTAGACTACCATGGAAAACTTGAAAGCATTGGACGGTCGTTTCATTCTATTGTGGGACTCCTCAACAATGTGCTTCCATGACCCCGCCTCACAGGATTCGAACCCATAACTTATCAATCTCGCATGCGAGCGGGATCGTGGATTTGCACTGTTGAGGAATCCCATACTAGGACGAGACGGCCGTCCAGTGCTTCCAGGTTTTTCATGGTGATCTAGCTTCAATTGACTCATGATATCAATTATTGAGATTCTCATTTTTATTTTCACTTTTATTTTTCCTTCATATGAAAACATATTAATACCGAATTTCATTCATTAATAACTCAATCTTACACATATAGACAATTTGTTTTCAGTCATTTATTTTCACTTCATGAACTTTTCACATGATTGCCATTTACTAAAATCAGCATCCTAATATGATTGGATTAAGCACAGTATAGATTTGATTGGAATGGATTGGATTGTTAAAACGCTATATCATCTTACTTTGATGATTTTAATTTTGATTATTCTAATCTGAAGAAGTTCAGACAAGTTCACTGGATGAAATGTTGGAATTGTTATTTTAAATTTGAATCGCTGAGATTATTTCAAATATACTTTTCATTCATATAATAAGTTCTCTATACTCAGCACTCGATTTCTATGATAATATACTGTAATATCTAGAAGGTTGTTTACTTGATATATCGCGTATAACTGAGCACTAGAATGCAAAAACCCTTCCAAGTCGCAAGGAGAAAATAGAAGACTAATGAAAGGAATATTATTCGAAACAGTCTCAATTATAGTACAAAATTGTCAGGTATTTATAGTTTTTTATCAAGAACGAAATCATCATTACAGTCCTCCAATCCGCATACAGGGGGTTATTAGCTTTGTTCAATCGAGAAGCTACGCGTAGGAATTCTAGAATATTCTTCCGAAAAGTGATTGGATGCAATATCTACGGCTTCTTCTGAACCTGTTGCAGCTTCCTCGAGTTCACTCGTGCTCCGTCGTCACACCTCCCCCCTAGAGTCCGTTGTATAAGACTTCTTTCTCGGATCCAACTGAAACTTGGTCGCCGCATTCCTTCTGCGGTCCATCACTCTCAAGGGTTGTACAACTTTTCCTTTGCATCGTTTGTCTCTTCTTTCAAAAGCTGATTGGATGGAATATCTTTGGCTCCTTCTGAGCCTGTTACAGCTTCCTTAAGTTCACCCGTGGGTTCGTCGTCACATATACGTTCTAATCTTAAAAGTTCAAGTCTTATTATTATTATTATACTAGTGATAATTCAACAGTAATGGTGTGTCTTTTTTTCTTTAAAAAAGAAACATAATAAAATCCATAAAATAATAAATTGAACATTGATTTCCTAAACACTATTTAATCAATTGATGGTGACGTTTCATTTTTCTTCAGTTTTTTAATCAATGTTTTTTCTCAACATTTATAAACATTAAAAATTGATTGTAGTTTTTATTATATAATAAATGATTAAAATAGTGAAAACAGAATAAAACAAATTAAAAATAAAAAAAAATTAACTTGACTTCAACTATGTCCATTTAAATGTTTAATAAAGAAAACAAAAAAGAAAGAAAAAGAAAAAGAAAAAAAAAGAAGAAATAACTCAAAACAAAACTCGCAAATTATTTATATTTTGTGTGTGTTGCATTTCTTTTTTTTGTTTTTGTTTTGTTCTTTATTTGTTTATTGAATTTTGAAATTATCTGAGTGAATGAAAGAAAAGAAAAGAAAAAAGAAACTGGTTTTTCTAAATGCGTTTAATGAAATAAAAAATAGTTTTCAAGTTTTTTTTTAATTTTTTTTATTCTGTTGAAGTGGAATAAATTTCTCTTTATTTTAAGATTGGGTAGTTCTATCTATCTATCCTTCCATCCACTCATTTATCTATCTAATCTATCCACTCATTTATCTATCTAATCTATCCACACATCTATCTATCTATTCACTCATTTATCTATCTAATCTATCCACACATCTATCTATCTATTCACCCATTTATCTATCTAATCTATCCACACATCTATCTATCCACTCATCTATGTATCTACCTATCCACACATCTATCCACTCATCTATCCATCTATCTATCTATCATTTTATACTCATAAATTTTCTTGTAGTTTATATTAAATTTCATTGTGTTAAATATTATTATATTCTTGATGAATAAGAATTGGAATTGACTGGGATACCTGCTGAGTGTTTTTATTCATTCATTCATTCATTCAAACATCTTATTTCAATATATTTGTTGATTAGTGTTAAGTAGAAAGATACATTATTAACAGTTCAATTGTTTTATTATCAAGGAATAGTTTGAACTATTATGGATTTTTCTTCTTTTTTTTTACATTTTGAGATTAATAAATAATTACTGATTTACTCTTAATAAGAGTTGATTACTTTTTTTTTTGGTGGTGGTGGTGGGGTAATGGAATAATCAGATTATAATGGTGTGTTTATTTGATGTTCAGTAGTTGAAGATAATGGGCATGAATTCATGCTTAATCTAAATTTCATGCGAGTTGTTGATATTCAATAAGAAATAAAATGACACGGATCATTATTTTAAAGTTAAATTATTCATTTGATTGATATTCTATAAACTATCTTATATTTACATTTAAATGATATAGCAAGCCGAAATACTTTCTTGTTTCAATGGTTAAGATCATAAGTCAGTTGAAGCTAGACCACTACCATGGAAAACCTGGAAGCACTGGAAGGCCGTTTCGTCTTATCGTGGGACTCCTCAACAGTGCGCATCCACGACCTCTTCCCACGCGTGATTCGAACCCAGGACCTACTGGTTTCGCGCACCAGCACTTAATCACCAAACCACTGAGCCGGCATTCAACGGTGTAAATGTCTAACTTCAACTAATCTACGAAATCCACTCGACACATCCACCATTGTCTTCAGTGAGTTACTATCTCACAACAGATTCGGTTGAACTCCACTAGTCATTACTTCTCACTAGAACTCCAGGATATACCTCTTGAAGGCAGTCACTAGTGAGCATGTGTTGATTAATATCAGAAGGGTGTTTTGTGGAGATTGTAGTAATTTCAATGGTTAAATTTACCTGAACTTTCAGCAAGTTGGTTATTTATTTTTTGATAATTGTTTTTTTTTTGGTTTCATATTTTTTTGTTAAGCTGAATCACTTGTTCGACCTCGAGTTGATCGTACTGCTAGTCCACCATCTGCTACACTTTATTGGTCTGAAGCTCGAAGACTTGCTTCTTTTCCAAATGCTCGTTTACCAGACTCTAATAGTTTACCGGCTATAGACAGATATGATTTTCCTGCTCCACCTTCACCGGCTGTTGTTATGATTGATAAACGTAAGTAAATTGTACCATGTGAATAAAACATTGTCAACTAATGAGTCAATATTATAATGTATGAAATTGTAGTACGCTATCACTGTTATACTATTTCTAATCACTTTATCAAAAACTAGAAATATGAAGTATTCTGTTCATTTCATTAACTTTCAGGTCGTGAGAAACGTATGACTGGTGTACAGTCAGTTGGTGTAGATAGTAGAAATGGTACTTTAAGAAATGGAACAATGACATCAGTTGATACAGATTGGACTGATCGGGATCCTTTATTAAATGCTAAACTAGATCGAATTGATGCTGAGATTGAGACATTGAAACGATTAGGTGAAAGTTCCGGTATTACAGCGGTGAGTATATATTTCTGTTTTGAAATATTAATTCACTTTTTTTTAAAAAAAATTACTTTTACATCGATGATGAATTAGATTGTGCCTAAATGTATTTCCCTTGAAACTTATTACTGAATATTCAATTAATATATCAATTAATTAATGTTGTGACAGTAAAAGTGCTACGGAAAATAAATCTATGAGTTAAATGTTTGATCTGATCACCAAATAAACTTTTCGTTTTAAGTAATAGTTAGAAGCCTTATAAATGTTGAAGGGAAGTGAGTTAAACAACAATAATAAAGATTGTACAGTGAAATGAATTGATTTCACTTCATGTACTCAAAGTCATTCATATACCCATTGATTTATACAAATCAATGAAATACTGTAATTTTATATGCAACATGTAAAAATTTTATTTCATCACTTACATTTTGGATCAAATTAAATCTTACTCAATAGATCAAGTTCCCGATTATGTACTTAACTTTGAGCTAATGTTTTTGTATGGAGAATATGTTACACTAATCAGTTGCTGGAATTACTAAAAGTGAATATAGATTGATAGTTGAAACCCTCGTGATGGAATAGTGAAGGCTCTATCCAATCGGTCACCTCTTCACTCTTTCATTTATGTGTTCAAATAATTACATTATATTATTGAATATATCCTAAATATTGATCTTATTTATAAAATTCACTCGTGGTTCAATATTTATTATCTATATGGTTTGAAACGTTACGTACTGTTTTTTTTTTAATCAGTTATTTAACTGAATATGTGATACCAACTATCATGGTATAATTCTGCTCAATCAAAATAAATAATAGTGAAACTCCACACTCTCTTTCTTCATAACATATTAGTTGTATTGTGTTGATGTTACAAATTAAATGTTTCAGTCAGTTAGTCAGTCAGCTGTAACGTAGGACCAGGCACATATATGCATCGGTCCAAGTTGCCATACCGTATTAGCACAACAAGATGAACATCGGATTCACAGAAGTAGTGAACTCGTTAACTTTTAAATCAGTTTAGTTTACGTAATGTACTTGTTTATCATTTTGATGATGCAGAAGAAAAAACGATACATTTCAAATCATTTTTTATATTGATGTTGTTCATGTAGTCAACTGTTTTCATTATGTAATCCATTTTAAGTATTTTACAAGTAATAACTTATTTCTTTTAAACTTAATTTAAATGAGAATGAAGAAAATGATGGTTAATGTTAAATTATAGTTTAATTTGTGATGAAATTACACGATAACAATAACATTGTTTTGTTACGTCTATGTTTTCACTCCTTTCCGTTATTGAAGTACAGTATGTCGATGTATTTGCAATTTACAAACCGAAATTAACAATAGAACCAAACTCCAAATTAGGTACCAAAGTTTATTCGCACTTTACAAATAGTCGACTCAAATGTCGTTCTAACAACAATAATTATAACCATTGCATAACAAATCTTCAATTTTTGTAGGTTCCCAAATATCAAACTAAAGACAGGAAGAAACCGAAATGTTCAAAAATAATGATATAAACAAACAAGTTCAGTAGTTGAGTAAAACAAATACATCCAAAAAAAACACAGTAAAATTAACAATATTTAATATAAAGGTTTTGATGGAGTTTTGTTCTCTGAGCTGGATGGTCTGGACCAAAGCATCCAGCTCAGAGAACAAAACTCCATCAAAATCATCCACCTGAGCTACAAATCTTCTCCACCAATATAAAAGTTTTAATCAGTTAAATGTCTTCAGTTCTCCCGTAACAGTTTACCTGTCTGAAAAGTTATTTGTATATTGAATAGATATGTGTATATATGCATTACTCATTTTAATCAACACATTTCTCTCCCTTTACTGAAATAATGTGGTTTACTTATTATTTTATTTTTTATTATCGTCTCTTAAAAGGCTCTTATTCAAGAATTGGAAGCCAGTAAATTACAAGTTCATGAAACAGATTTAGATCCGATATCTGCATCACGATCACCGAATGCAAATGTAGAACCTGGTTACAAAACACGATATAGACGGCATGGATATACATGTATGTTTATTTTCTTTATATATTGATCTGACGTGATTGTTTTGTAATGCAATCTAAGCATTTTTAAAGAAAAACTTTGTATTAAATGTGTTTCTTGTTCAGTCAGATTCTATTCTTTGTTCTGACGACAAAGTAACTGATGTCATTCTAATTCATTATTATTTTAAAATTATCTGTTGAAATGATTTGTTAATTCAGCTTTTAGTCGTAACTTGATTGATCATTTAACATTTTAATCATTCTTATTGAGTTGGAAATTGATGCAGATCATCATTTTTAATTTTTATTTTACAATATACCTCTGAGTAGTAGTAGTAGTAGTAGTAGTATATTACGTCATGTTGTTTACTAATACTGTGGTGTGTGCTACTTATGTAGACCATAAGTAGTATATGACGTTAGTCGTGAACAGAATTTCGGCAGTAGAGAGAGACGAGAAGATCAAACAATAAAGTATGAAGAAACAATGCAATTTGTATGAAAATACAAGAACAAAGGAAGTCTGCAAATTGAGCATTTACTATATATGGTTGTTCGAGTTTACTAACTAATTCTGTAATTTGTTGTTAAATCCATTCGGGCTGTCCCCATTTGTGTTCATGTTCACTAGAATACTTAGTCTTTGTTCACTAGAAACTGTTTTCATAACTGGACTTTTTTTTTTCAAAAGTATTCTTTGTTATTATAAAGAGTAAATTTATGAAAATTTTGCAAATCTTTCTGCTTAACCCCCTTATAAATGTATCCTTTTAAAATTATATTAATATTGTTCTAATGTACCTGTTCATTGTTTTGTTTCTAATATTTAACTTTATATTTAATTGGAACTATTTTGAGATGGTGGAATTGATCCATGTGATTGTTGTGTTACCTTGATATTCAACCACTAGACTACTGAGTCGGTCGTCAACCAACGGTGTTAATGTCTAACAAAATTGTGATAACAAATGACATATTACACTAAACGTGTATTTGATATCAGATTGGATAGATTTATAACAAATGCAGACAAAATTGTTTAATCCCAGTGTATTTCTTTATCGATCGACTGTTTTCAATGAATATCAACTCCTAAGTTACAAACAAACATCATATTATATATAGACTTTTTTCATCAGTAATTTGGTTTATAAACTTCTCTGATCCACTTCTTTACTTAAGTTAATATTATACAGTTAAGTAAATTATTTTATATAGTTAGACAAATTCAATGACCTGAAAGTTTAACATAAATAGGTTAATCAGTTACTAAGCTATGTGTTTGTTAACTGTTTTCACAACGAACGGCTACGATACAACCTTGCAAATTCCTTTTATCCCATATATAATTTCTTTTTAAATATAGGTCATTTTCGAAACAAAGATTGACTTATCATATATAAAAACCTTATAAAACTGTTTTATGAAAATAAGCAACAGCGGAATCCAGAACGAGCTTCTTATCATGTTAGAGACTTGTCAGTCGAATGAACTTGCGTTTCAGTGCTGATGTTTACACTGTGATTTAAAACCAGTTCACTTTTCTTCAAATACGAACGTGTTATTCACCGAACTACTGAGTTTTGATAACCATTGACTTATGCAAAGGGCATGAAATATATTTGTAAAGGTTTGTATATTAATGTAGAACGAAATATGCATTCTGAACTTCACTAGTAGCCGCAAACCAAATATACTAAAAAAAGACTTGTAACCAATGGTTTTATCGAACCAATCAGTTCAGGATGAAAGTATGCCAACCCGAAATTGATCAATTGTAATAATTATTATTAACCATTAAAAAAAAAAAAAAAACAATAACTTACAAATAAACAATCTTCAAATTATCCCCTAAATATACGGAATTTTTTTTCTTCTAGAGTTACTTCTTTGTATGCCTTGTACTTTGTTTCTACAATAAAATCAATTTATTGAAATTTATATCTTATAATGTTCTTATGGTTTTCTATGTTTTCTTATACAGCTCCATCACGTGATACTAGAAGAGATCGTCGAAGTGGTCATAATTTATCCTATCGATTAGAATATTCCAGCACTGGTGGACGTTCAGGAACTATACCGAGCTTCCCATCAAGTAAAACGATAAAATTTTTTTTTATTTTTTAACATTGTTTACCTTGATTATATTACTTTAAGTATTATTATCTATTAAGTGAACTATGAATTCACGTACTTTTTTTTTGTAGGGGCTTATTATTCTAGGATTCAATAAGAATGTTTTATCACTGATGTGTCTAAATGATTTGCTTCCATTAAAATCAAAATGTATTTTTGTTTCCTGTTTACTTCCAAAAAAAAAAAAGTATTAAATTACTTTACATTTTAATTACTGTTATCTATAAAAGGTCTTTCTGTATCTCATAAATCTCTACAAACTAACATAATGTTTCATCTAAATAGTCATTACATTAAAAAAATCGGATGAGTTTACATTAATGATGTAAAATGATTACAACTTAGGGAATATGTGAAATGTACACCCATTCACATACATTTCAATGTAGTTCCCTTTATTATGAGAAGTTTATAAAAGTAAACAGTAATAAAACTTAGAATATAGATTAGATTCTGTAAATCATTTGTTAGTTTAGTGTATTCATAATATAAAATGATTATTCTTTAAATTGTTGAATTAATGTGACCATTAAAACATAGATATTGGTACAAAGAGGCACCAAAATACATATGCGTCACACAGATCTCATTTGATATATGTGAGGGCTGTGATACTGCCCAGGTGCCCAAACCGAAACAGGTGGTTTTCTTAGGAGGCCACATCCCGAGCCTTTGACCTAAAGGTCTGATCCACTAGGTGGTGGAACATCGTAAGGAGATGCAGTCCCATGGTAACTGGTGACCATTTGTTCCTTCAAAATACATTGAAACAGAAGTTAATACAGATTGAAATAAGTTAAATGATCATGCGAGAATTGATCAGTTTTTAAATAATCTGTAAATAAATTAATTTGGATCAATTGTAATAATAATAATAATAATAATATGTAATGGAAGGTGTATACAATGTATTGCGTCATAGTAAATCCGAAATTTGTTACATTTATTCATAGTGTTACGTATTACAAACTTACTAATGAATCGTCACCTGTTTGATTAAATGGGTACATTTTCAAGAATTTTTTTTTGTTTTTTTCGGATAGTTTGAATAACAATAGAATCGTTGCAAAACATTAAATAAAATGTAATGCCGAAAATGTATTATGAATAGTTTTTAGTGTTTCTTTATGACGTAATTTTTGTAACCACTGACTTTCGAGCGTAGACTTACAATCAGTTAAATCCCCATACTGAATTTAAACTGTTCTATATCTTTACGATGACTTAGTGTCATAATTTAGCGATGGGTTTATGTATGTTTAATTCAGATCTGCCCATTTGAATTCTTAATTATACATTCCCTATTTAACTAAGCATTTACGATTAGTAGTTTTATGTAAGCGATCTCACATAGATTGTATTCACGGACAAATAAACTTTCTTTGTATTTTCAAAAAATGCTTATCAATTTAGCATGGAATTTTTCATTCCATTCTATTAAGAATTGTCTCTATCTATTTATATATATATATATATATATATATATATATATATATATATTTATGTTTTGTCCACATCATCATCACCCTCCTCATGTTGTAGGATACGATCATGAGTATGCAGTCAGACAACATGGTCAGTATATGAGATCAACTTATTCAGGTAGTCTGGTTCATTATAATTTTCAAATTATTACTCATTGTATACTGTAATCAATAGCATGTGGTTCTGTCAACACAAATTTGCATTTCATTTAATTTTCTTTTTTTTTGTTGGCATTATTACAAATCAATATTTCTGTTCATTTTTAACATGAATATAAGTTGTATTTGATTGAGATCATGAACCGATTGATGTTAGACCACCATTGAAAACCTGGAAGCACTAGACGACCGTTTCGTCCTATTGTGGGACTACTCGGCAGTGCGCATCCACGATCCCACAAGTGGGATTCGAACCCAGGGCCTTCAGTCTAGCGCACGAACGCTTAACCTATTGGACCACTGAGCCGGCATCCAACGGTGTTAATGTGATGGTCTAACATCAATCGGTTCATGATCTCAATCAAAAACTTGACAATCTCCACAATACCTAAGTTGATAATAAGTTGTATTATTGAATTCCTTTAACAGATTTCAATCTAGTTTAAGAAATGAGTAAATTTTGAACAGTTGTTACTGTAGGGATGTTATTAATGGTTAAAGAAAAACAATAACACTACTAATCATTGGGATTTATCGATATTGAATGTTTCCTCCATTCTACTTCAACTTCATTTTTTTGTTCACAGCGGTTGTTCCAGTTTCGTAACTAAGATAAAATTACAATACTAGAAAGATTTTAACTTTGTTCAGGAAACAGTCTGTTGGTAACTTGGAATAATCGTAAAATTGGCTTCTTTTTTATCATACCCTTATATATACACGCTTTCGTCATGGAAAATTTGGTAGCAATCAACGTTGTTTTTTTGCTTATAAACGATTACTTGGTTATTGTGGAAGGTAATAAATACATCATTTTAATGAATAGCAAATTACTTGGTCAATTATTTGAATTTCTGTGGATAAAGCAATTAATCACTTTGTTTTATACAAACGACAATCCTCTAATCAGAGTTGCGTTGCTCACTTCTCGGTCAAATAAACTTACTTACTTACGCCTGTTACTCCTCGCGAAGGAGCATAGGCCGCTCACCAGCATTCTCCATCCAACACTGTCCTGGGCAATCCTTTCCAGCTCTCTCCAGTTCTTATTCATTTTTTTCATGTCCGCTTCTATTTCCCGACGTAATGTGTTCTTTGGCCTTCCTCTTTTCCGCCTCACTTCACGATTCCAAATTAACGCTTGTCTCGTGATGCAGTTTGATGATTTGCGTAATGTATGTCCTATCCATTTCTATCGTCTTTTCCTAATTTCCTCTTCAGCTGGAAGCTGGTTTGTTCTCTGCTACAAAAGGCTGTTGCTGATGGTATCCGGCCAATGGATGTTGAGTATCTTGCATAGACAGGTATTGATAAATACCTGTACATTCTTGATGGTGGTTGTTGTAGTTCTCCAAGTTTCAGCTCCGTACAGTAGAACTGACTGCCTTGACGTTCGTATTTAAGATTCTGACTTTGATATTGGTTGACAGACAGTTGTTATGTGTTCCGTATGTTCTTTAATTGGAGGAATGCCGCCCTTGATTTGCCAATCCTCGATTTAAATAATTGAACTTTTGATTAGCTTCCTCAATATGAACATCTATATGACTTCTACTTAAAACTTGGTTTGACTTCTGATCGTCATTATATACTATTTTAATGTTTATACATATTATAAGCAAATTTTATTCAATTTCATACTGTCTCATTGTCTTTTTCTTACTAAATTTGTTAGTTACTAACGCTTTGCATGAGAACTATATATATTCCATTATTTCTGAATATATCAATGTGAATGGATTTTGGTTAATCTTCATTCTTTTATTCGTTTACATTTGTTAACGTTTCAGTAGTTAAGATCATGAGTCAGTTGAAGCTAGACCACCATGGAAAACCTGGAAGCACTGAACGACTGTTTCGTCCTATTATGTGACTCCTCAGTGGCAGTGCGCATCCACGACCTCTCCCCCTGCGAGACTCGAACCCAGGACCTATTGGTTTCGCGCGTGAGCGCTTAACCCCTAGACTACTGAGCCGGCATACAACTATTTTTTCATTGTAAACATATATACAAACACTTACTAAACTTCAATATTTCTTTCAAAGGTTTATATTGGTAGCAGACAGTTTTTAGTGATGTTAGTAAATTCACTAATCAATGATATATTGTTTATAATAGAATAATAATGGTGTATTGATATTACTTTATAACGTATAACCGTAGAATTCCTATGAGATGAATATACGAAGTTTGTTTAGTGAAGACCATAATTTCATATGAAGAGAATAGAGTTATTATTGAAGTAAAAATGACTTAAAAGTCATATACTCTCGAAGTTATTCAAGTCTACTCTAAATCCAAACAAAAATACTTGATTTTCTTTAGGGGTTACGTTCTGTATCCACAGTTTTATTAAGAGCCAGACATTCATTTTTCTTCCCATGTTCGTAAAAAATGCCTATGTGAAGGTAAAGATGGGTGTTATTGGGTTGTACTTTTCCCCTTGTACAGTCGTTAAGTGTATGATACTTGAATCAGTCAATTAATGTCCTTCTGCTTTCAAAGAATAGGCATATTTTAAGCTCCCTGATTAAAGGCATATTCGATGAAAACAATTAAGCTTATTGATCACGAAATTCGCTTGCAGTGTTTATTATAAATCAGAAAATTACGTTAGATTTTTGAATTTCAGCTGACTGCTGTTGAGGAGGTCACTGCTTGTAGCGAAATGTTTGCATTACATCTATCCTATAAATATTTTATGACGAATTCTGTATGTATGTGATTACTTAAAGAATTACATCTTAACTAAGATCTTCTCATTAAATTCTTATCGGATAATTGATAAATATCTAATTATTAAGTAAACTGACTCATTTCATTTTTACTGATACTGAATGACAAATCAAGATGTTAGAGAACACTATGTTTATCTTCCAAGTATAAAAATATTGCATCGAAACTGTTATATGAAAACTGTTTTGATTAAAAGTAGATGAAGTTATCCAAAGTTTACGATCTTTGCATTTCTCACTAGTATCATCCCTAAAATGCCCTGGTAAGGCCGAGAGTGGAGAGATTCCGCTCTCCCTCTCGAAATACTCTCACATGGCCACGCGTATACAGACTCTGTCAAGGAATTCCTACTCACTGCCTTCTCGCGCCACGGGTGTTGTTTACGAAAATCGAGTGTCCAGCGCTTTAACCGGACCCCAAACCAATGGTGCACATGGGCTCCAGTATCCTGCGGGAACGAATGGCGTATGAACCAATCGTTGGTCACCGACTACCATGGGACTACATCTCCTTACGATGCTCCACTGCCTTGTGGATCAGACATTCAGGTCGAAGGCTCCGGGTATGGTCCCCCCTAAAAAAACCACCTGTTTCGGTATGGGCACCCGTGCAGTATCACAGCCCTCACACAAATCAATTGAGATTCGTGTGGCGCATATGTATTTGGTGCCTCCTTGTACCAATACCTATGTGTTAAAGATAAATAAATAAATAATAAATAGTGGTTGAACAGTTGTTAAAATTTCAAATCAGATCTAATTTATTGAAATTTTATCACACAATACACATCATAAATCATAGAGCGATTTATTATCTGAACTTTTCTCGTAATCGTAAAGTCTTCTACACTCATTTCATCTAAGAAATCTACGGTCTAACACTGTTTATCCTAGAAATTATATCATAAAACTAAATACATAAACACTTGTTCAACTAATTAGTTACATTTCTAGTGTAATGAAGGAGAACACAGGTGAGGAAAACCGAATGTATTTAACAACAAATTACAGAATTAGCTAGTAAACTCTAACAGCCATATATAGTAATTGCTCAATTTGCAAAATGTTCATCAGTTGTCTCAAATGACTCAGACTTCCTTTTTTGCATTGTGTCTTCATTCTTTACTGTTCGATCTTCTTGTCTCTCCGCTTCCAGACATTCTGTTCACGACTCACGTCATATACTGCTTATGTCTACATAAATAGCATACACCACACTAGTTGTTTTTATCTTAAACTGGTTGGTATTCCTCATAAGCCTAAGATCTATAACGAAGATTACTAGATAGTAACTATAAATCTGCTAATGTTCTGTCTATGGATTTTAATCAGTTATAATGGTTAGGGACATGTGTTACATATGGTTAATGTTATACTAAAGATTTTTTGGGTGGTTGTTGCTAATTTGTTTCCTAGATGTTTAAAAACTAGTTTGTGTAAACGAAAACAAAACAATTTCAATTTATTTACTTTTATACATCTGTGAATTTTTTTATTTTTTTTTTTGTTCTTGTTGCTTATTTTTGTCAAATTGGTTGCATTCATATTCACCCCTTATCTTTATCATATATTATCAAATTCATTCTCACCTGTCTTATATATTTATCCCATAACTATTATATCATTGGAGTTTGTTTTTTTTCTTTTTTTTCTTGAAACACTATTGCATGTTTGCATAGATTGGATAACTATGAAAGTGTAATGGATTCTATATACATAGATATTGTATTTCTTCTTTATAATATTTCTACAACACAAGAATTTTGTCGGTTCCTTTTCTGAGGAGAGGGGGTAACTACAAAATGAAAATTACAGTACAATGCAAAACAATGTGTAATATTAGAGCATATAAAATAAAAACTCGACTAGATAAATGTTTTTTTCAAGAAAATTTTGCTAACTCCTAGATCGCTTCCTTGTGAGTTATAGAATGGAACCGTGTTTGAAGTGGATCAATTGTGCACCGGTCATATTAGTTAATGATTGCTCTACTTGACAAGTTGATTATAGTTAAAGAAGGAGTTTATTGAATTTAGACTTACATATCTAAAATTATACTTCTCTTTGTGAGACATGGACTCATTTACGTGTATACGGCTGTTAGCGCTCACTTCAATGCTGTTTTAGAATAGAATCAAAAATCTGTCTTCTTATTTCTAGCTCTTAATATTTTGTTGGACGATGTCAATCTGTGGCTTGAATTTTCTTTAGATATCTTCATATGAATATGAATTTCATTATTCCAATGAATTTATCGGCAAAATTTTTGTTTGACTATGTTTCATAAAAAGCCCAGTGTCTACGTTCATCCACTAAACATAGCTACAAACCTCAAAGCAAAGATATAGGCAGTCACTTTTAAGAACCACGAATATCAGCGTTCAGTAATGGTTTACAATCAACTATGCTTTCGTTTACTGTTTATTTATCTAATAGTAATCTTATGCACAATACGATTACTTCCTGAAAAGTAAAGCGTTGTAAGATGGTAGAGAAATTCGAACACTTCACTTCTATCTCAAGTTTGTGCTGATGATGTTGTTCAAAAGAACGATGATAGCTCTACGACTAAACCATCTAGCTCACAGTACAAACCTCCATCACAAGTAAAACGTTTTAAACAAACAAATCAACATTAGAACATATGATTCATATAAAATCACGACTACATTATTGTAAATATATTTATTGAATATGAAATTACCAAACTTTTTATGATGAATTAAGTTTTCATCAATGTAGTCATTGATTCGCTGTATACTTCCTTCTGTTTCCAACTAAGTATTTTATTTATTTATTTATTATTTATTTGAACTCATAGATATTGGTACAAGAAGGCACAAAATATAAATGAGCCACACAGATCTCATTTGATATATGTGAGGGCTGTGATACTGTCCGGGTGCCCAAACCGAAACAGATGGTTTTCTTAGGGGGGCCATACCCGGAGCCTTCGACCTGAAGGTCTGATCCACAAGGCAGTGGAGCATCGTAAGGAGATGCAGTCCCATGATGGACGTTATCCAACGATTGGTTCATACTCCATTTGTTTCTTCAGGATACTGGAGCTAGCCTATGTGCACCATTGGTTTGGGATCCGGTTAAAGCGCCGGACATTCGATTTTCGTCCTCTCATTTTCGTAAACAACACCCGTGGTGAGAGAATACAGTGAGTAGGACTTCCCTGGCAGAGGCTATATACACGTGGCCGTGTGAGAGTATTTCGAAAGGGAGTGCGGGTCCTCCCCACTCCCGGCCATACCAGGGCATTTGGGGGCATTTCACTCTCTTAATTACTTTTATTTACTAGAACAAATAAAGATATTAGTTTTGTTATTGTATAATATCTTATGTGTTAAAAATTTAGTTATGTTTAACATTCATGTGATAGTAAATGTGTAGTTTAGTATGTCATTATGCCTACACATTTGATAAGTCAAATGACAATAAACTACAGAATAGTTTCCTTTATTTATAAACTGTGCATAATCAATTTGAAGAGGTATGGATTGATTATATCATTCTTAAAACATTCTATAGAATAGTTAATATCCGTGTCTAAAGGTTAATTGCTTTAATCACTAAGTGAGTGGTATTAGATAGGAAGTATTTTTTTGTTTTTGTAATTTACACATTCATTAAGGGGGGGGGGTTAAACTGGTCATAAGATTTATGAATTTCCTGTACTTTATATTTTTATTTATAAACATAAATTAGTCATAAAATTTTTTTTGTATTTCGCTGTAATTTTTTTTTAGTATTTTTAAACTACAATTGTGATTTATTGTTGTCAAGGTGAATATCTAATCAACCTTGAGCCTGTGGAGCCAAACTGATTTATTAAATTAAGATTAAAACAATGTAAAGCAGTGCCCCCCCCCGTTTACCACTATTTTTATTAAAAATTAAAATGTATAGTTTATTTTCAGCCTAGTAAAATATACGATGTATAAAAATACATTTGAACTTTATTGTTTAATGAATTTATTCCATTTCTATTCAGTCAGTAGCAGGTATACTCATGTTTATTGTTGTCTTCAGTATTATTTATTGATATCTAATTTGTTTTGTGAATGATAGCTCCACGTCCTGGTTACACTTCTGGAATACTTTATGGTCGAGCAGTTAGCTTACCTCGACCATTTATCGGTGTAGAAAATGGTGATACACTGTTAGATCAAAATACATTGTCTGGACATGTTCCAGTTGCAAATTCAGGTATACGTGGATCTTTATCAACAACTCTAAGAACAATCCCATCACGTCATAGTTATCATCCAGGTGGACATTCCAATCATTCAGGTGAAGCTATTAATGGTCCTGATCGTACAGTCACTGTATCGGAATCACTGAATACTAATTTTATCGAAAATGAATCACGTCCAATTGGTTTTCATGATGGATTAGGTTCATGTGAGTTATACTCTTATGAATTATGTTTTTTCCCTTCTTTTAATGATTATTACTCTTCAATTCCGACTTTATAGTGTACGTCGAAATTCACTCGTTTATTTTGTTTGCCTATATACGTTTTTAGCTCGTAATTTCAGTTCTACTTGATTTTCAATGAGGCTTTACTTGACGTTACTATAAATCATTTGTATATGGAACTAGTACTCTAAAGGTGAGCGGCCTATGCTCCTCCATAAAGGGTAACAGACGTAAGTAAGCAACTCTAGAAGTTAAGCACTAACTCTTAAATCTAAAGGACGTGGTTCTGATCCCCTGTTGTGAGTCCGTGGATCCTCATTGCTATGAAGCCCCATATTAGGACGAAGCTGCTATCCAGTCATTATCGATTATTTACGGTTGTTTTACTAATGTTTGTTCATGGGGTGGAACTATAAACTTTTACAACCTTCACAAACCTCCATGCTAAAATATCACCAATTTGGAGAATCCCTATGAACCTCTGAAGTTAATAGGAAACTATTCTTTGCTCAATGATTTTACAAAATATTGTTTTATATAAAGTATTTGTCGATATACAGATTATCCTTCCTGAAAACCATACATCTAGATATTCTTTAAATTTATTCAATCCAGAGTATTATTGTTTTCTCGATAAAATTCTTGTATTTTGTTGTTTGAGTGCATTAATTTAAGGGATAGTTGTTTGTTTGTGTATATCTACAAATGGAAAGGAACAAACTCTGTTCAATATGGTACTTGTAATTTATTTTATCGATAATGTTACATTTACTTTTTATTCATTTTTATACTTTTCAATTTTGATAAAGGGGTAATAAAGTGGTTCTGTTGGTCTATGAGTTTTTTTTTAGTAAAGACTTCTAAGATGTTTCTTACATATCGTATAAACGGACATATAGTTGTGTATCTATGCTTATAACTTACAAGAATACCCTGGTACGGCCGAGAGTGGGGAGAGTCCGCTCTCCCTCTCTCTCACATGGCCATGCGTATATAGCCTCTACCAGGGAAGTCCTACTCACTGCCTTCTCGTGGCGGGGGTGTTGTTTACAAAAATGACAGGACGAAAGGCGAATGTCCGGCACCGGCTTTAACCGGATCCCAAACCAATGGTGCACATGGGCTCCAGTATCCTGCGGGAACGAATGGCGTATGAATCAATCGTTGGTCACCGGCTAGCATGGGACTGCATCTCCTCACGATGCTCTACTGCCTTGTGGATCAGATCTTCAGGTCAAAGGCTCGAGGTGTGGCCTCCTAAGAAAACCTCCTGCTTCGGTTTGGGCACCCGGGCAGTATCACAGCCCTCACACAAATCAATTGAGATTTGTGTGGCGCATATGTATTTGGTGCCTCCCTGTATCTATACTTATGTGTTAAAATAATAATAATAATAATAATAATAATAATAATAGTGTGTTTTCTTATCCAGTTACAAATGTATAAATATCTTCTCTTAATAATAATTTGTTTATGTACATCTATTAATAATTGACAGTAGTCGTTATTATACAGTTCTTTCTATTTGTAAGTGATCTCATTCATTACAACGTATGTTATCTCAGTCAGTCAGTGACAACGTAGAACTTCGTACGTACGTACATCAGTTCGAGTTGCCATACAACATTAGCACAGAGATTCAGTTATCGATTCAAAACGTATGTCATCTACAGGTAACCAGTAAATAACCATGACCATTATTACTAAGATCGTTTGATTTGAGTACTCATAAAATACTAACACAGTGGCAATTAAATAAATTGGTCGTAATAAACAATAGTTATTTATTGAATAGATGATTTAACTAAGCTTTCTTCAATTCCTCTGCTTTTTAATAAAATGTCCTACATCGTTGTGGTCACTTCCTGGTTCTTGACCGTATATATTTGTTGTATAAATAAACTACTTTATTGCGCATTTTGCATTTTCCTAATTACCGTTTTTCTATTTTTTTGTTCACATTTATTATTACAGTAACAACATCAGGTTTATCAATGGATGGTTTTATGGCAGAATCCGGTGATGATATAACTATTACTAGTCCACATAATGGTTATTTTTTAAAATCCAGGACTGTAGCTGGTCTGCCTAGTTCTGTAACAGGTCTTCGACCAGTTGGTTTACCACCACATCATCCTTATCATCATCATCATTACAAAACTAGTAGTTCAGCGATGAGGCGTGGACGCACTAGTACTCCAGCACCAGCTACAAGTGGTAGTGGTATGGGTTATTTGACCGATCCTGATCTACTAGATATTGATGCTTATCCGTCTGTACAAAGTTGGTTAAGGCCTACTGCATCATCATCATCGAAATATGAAAAGTCTTTCAAAGTAAGCGTTGATTCATATGGATGAGTTTCAAGGAATTTCGAAATATGTTTTCACGAAAATTGTAATTTATTATTTTCAAACATTAGATGATAAAATAGTTTACAATTGATTTGATTCTTTGAGTAAATGATGTAATCCGTATATCTTATGTTTGTATGTTAAACGATAGTGACATTTCGTATTAAATTTATTACAAACACATTAATGATAAATTTAATATAAGTTATTAACCAAAGCACATTTATATTACTTATTTTGAATCACACTATGAGAAGAACTCACAGATAATGGTATAGATGGGCACCAGATACATTTGTGAGGGCTGTGATACTGTCCGGGTGCCCAAACCGAAACAGGTGGTTGTCCTAGGGGGCCACACTCGGAACCTTCAACCTAAAAATCTGATCCACTAGGCAGTAAAGCATCGTGAGGAGATGCAGTCCCATGATAGCTGGTGACCAACAATTGGTTCATACTCCATTTGTTCCTTGAGGATCCTGGAGCCCATGTGCACCATTGATTTGAAATCAGGGTTTTCCAACTTCCCTAGGTGGACTCTCCATGTCCACTAACCCGGTTAAAGCAACGGACATTCGCTTTTCGTCTACTCAGTTTCGTGAACGACAGCAATTCCACGAGAATGCAGTGGCTATATACTCGTGGCTATGTGGGAGCATTTTGAGAGGGAGAGAGAATTCTCCCCACTCTCAGCCGTACCAAGGCATTTAGGGGCAACAAAACAAACACTAACGACGAGTAGTTACTGAATAAATATTAGTTTGGTAAAAGATATATGATAAAGATATGCCTGTCTGACTCAAACATAGTAGATGAGCATGTACTTGAACCTGTGATTTTGACTAGTTGAAATTCAAGTGTACTAATGGCTAAATGACTACCATTCAAATAGTCAACATATCAAATATTGTGTGTACAATACACTTTGTATTGTACAATCAATTTCATTTTTGCTTTATTTAAGTTATTACACTGTTTATTATCTTTAGTAGAATGAACATATAAATCAATAACTTTATGTCTAACTGGTATTTCTTCTCCTATTTTTTTTTCTATAATTTTTGAATTACTTCTCGTTTCTTTTTTTTTTAGTTGTTGTTGTTGTTTCTTCACTTACTTCTTATTATAAACCAGTTACACATCCATTATAGAATGTTCTATTTTGTTTTTTTTCTTTTTTGGTGTTCTATATTTTAGTGATTGTTTTTGTTTCTATAGCTATACATATTTATAACCATTTTATCTGTATTACTTTCCTTTGTTGTTAATTAGGCTAACAAATAAATTGACTATATTTCTTATAAGATGAGATGTGTTTTTCTTTTTCTTCTCTTTTTTTTCTTCTTTTTTTTTTGCACATTATTTTAATGGTAAAATACCGTTAAATGATTGAGCTTTTGAACACTATAATGATATTTGTGAACTGTGAATACATAATATTATTTTTTTTTTCTACTATATAAGCATTTTACAAAACTTCATTTTGTTGTCCATATGTATACATTACAATTATGAAATTTACATAAAATCTCTTCTGATAATAATGATTGTGTGCTCACTAGTGAATGGATTCAAAAGATATTTATTGGAGTTATAATGAGAAACAGTAACCAGTGGAGTTCAGACGGGTCTGTTGTAAGATAGTAATTCATTGAAGACAATGGTGGATGGTGGCTCAATTTCATCAATTGGATGAAGTTACACATTAACACCGTTGAATGCGGGTCAGCTCAATGGTCTAGAGGTTAAACATTTGTGTGTGAGACTGACAGGTCCTGGTTTTGAATCTCGTTAGGCGGGATCGTAGATATGCACTGCTGAAGAGTTCCATACTAGAACGAAACGGTCATCCAATGCTTCCAGGTTTTCTATGGTGATCTAGCTTCAATTAACTCATGGATTCAATTATAAAAATACTAACGTTTATTATATGTGAAAATTTTTTGACAATAATTTGGATTACTAACATTTAGTAGTACTGTTCATATTAGATTGATTTGACGATTGAATAACTATGAATTTAATAAAAATTTGTACATGCATTAAACTAAACCAACGTGTTTGTATATTTTTCATTGCTATTTTTATTTAATACCGGAGGTAATTGTGGATAACAGGTTTACTGATTACATTCTTTGAATATCCATTTTTTCTAGATTTGAACGCTTATGTATATTCATTGCTAATAAAATACACTTTGTCGATGCTTCTAAAAAGTATTTACTTTTAGGTCTAATACTTCGTAACATAAAACTAGGTATTTAACAAATCATTGTATGATAAATTTGTCAAGTTAACGATTATCTGTAGCAGAATTTTGTACATATTTTTATAATATTTTACATAGCGCTTAATTTATGGTACGTGAAACCTGGAACAACGTATCCTTATCTGAGCCATTTTTTCCTTATCGTCTTGATATCGGTCCTGGTTGTAAAACATTGAGGGAATAGACGTATCGGTGAAAAGTGTTCTACCCTATGTTTTCAAAATCTTGGAACTGCTTGGTAACTCATTGTGTTTAGTCATTGTTGCTAAGGTTCGTCTGCATCCAGTGGGAGCACTAAGTTAGTAACTCTGTGGTTCATCAATGTGTTCTGACGCATTAAGCCAACGTGTTTGTTCGTTCAGAAGAAGAATGATGAAAGCTCCACGACCAAACCATCCAGTTCAGAGAACAAAACTTCATCAAAATCATCCACCTGAGCTACAAATCTTCTGCACCATCTCATGTTGACTATTTTCTTAAATCAAACGTATCTTTTACTCTATACTGTTATGGTTTATATGATTTTTCTTCTATTTATAGTAATATGATTATTTCATTTTAATGGTAATACATTCATTTGCCATTGTATTACATTGAAATACATTTTTTGTATTGTCCATAAGAAACTCGTAACTTTGTCGTTAATATGTCATCGTTCAATCAAACACTAAGAAACAAATTGTTTCTACTAAATGTTTGTTTTTTGATTTATCTATTTGAATTGTTGTAGATTTATCCTTATGAAATGTTAAAATCATCATCAAATCAATTGTTGAAAGGGGTGGATCGTACACAATTAGAGGTAAATTGTTTGTTTAAGTTTTAACCTATACAATATAATAATGTATTCTTCCCATTTGTTTTTTTTATACGTTACATAATATTCGTTCATTGTTATTGTTGATGTTATGGAATTAAATCAAATAATTGATTATTAAAAAAATGATTAGTTAATAGAATGTTGAGTCAGTCAGTTGCAACGTAGGACCAGGCACGTATATGCATCGGTCCAAGTTGCCATACCGCATTAGCACAACAAGATGAACACCGGATTCATAGAAGTAGTTAATTCAGTGGTGGTAATATATAGAAGAAAGATTGTGTATAAGGAGATAGTACAGGAAGAAAGAATTAGTTCGTAGAAAGAAAGATATGAAGCAATTTTAATCTCATAGTTCAAGCGAAGATAAAGAGTGTATACACCGACGCCATCGTGATCGATTCTGAGCCATGTCACCAAGAGTCTCCAACCATTGGTTACGATAGTCACGCGGACCCCAACCAGGCAGTCTGCATCTACCAACATGGCTCAGACCAGAAGTCAGTGACTTCAAGCACTGATGCCACGTTTTGGTTTGGCCGCCCCTAACTTTCTTTCAGTCATCCCTAACACCGGTTACCATTGCGCGTCGTGGTAATCGGTGTTCAGGCATACGCAGCACGTGGCCAAACCATCTCCGTCGATGAAGGTTCATAATCTCATCAACTGATTTACCATCATTCCCTAATATCCTGCGTCTAACCTCACTATTACTTACCCGGTGATCCCAGCAGATACCCGCAATATTTCTAAGGCATCTGTGGTCAAATACTAGTAACTTACGAGGATTTTTATTTATAATGCATCAACGTCAGTTTGATTATGAACTAGTAATTCACTAATTAATATCTGTATATTTCGGACTGGAATTCACAGATTGTTATTTATTACAATCGCGAGGATTTAAATTATTCATATGATAAATCGGCGAGACTCTAATTTATGGACGACGTTTAACCGAATGTTAAGTGAACTTGGGGATATTAGCCAGCCAGCGAACAATAAGTATAGAGTAATACTATATTATAGAAAAGCGAGGAAATAAAGTCGATATATTACTTATACGTGGTTGAAAAACTTGTCAAGGTTAGAAAGAGGTTCAGAGGTTCTAAAATCGTAGCGTATACAGTAGAGGAAATCATCCATACGGCTACAGAATAGTCGGCCTCCGGATCCATGATAGTCTCAAAAACTCTTTCAGCTTCGACCACATAGTTTCAATATTGTTTATGTGCACTTCGGTTGTTAACCACCCAAAATGCTACTTGTGGAAAACGACACGATGCACATAACCAAGTCTATATAGGAGTCTGTACGCTCTCCGCCCCAAATGCCCTGGTACGGCCGAGAGTGGGGAGATTCCGCTCACCCTCTCAAAATTCTCTCACATGGCCACGCGTATATAGCCTCTGCCAGGGAAGTCCTACTCACTGCCTCCTCGCGCCACGGGTGTTGTTTACGAAAATGAAAGGACGAAAAGCGAATGTCCGGCACCGGCTTTAACCGGATCCCAAACCTTTAGTGCACATGGGCTAGCTCTAGTATCCTGAAGGAACAAATGGCGTATGAAGCAATCGTTTGTCACCGACTACCATGGGACTACATCTCCTTACGATGCTCCACTGCCTTGTGGGTCAGACATTCAGGTCGAACGCTCGGGGTGTGGCCCCCTAAGAAAACCACGTTGTTGGGTTTGGGCACCCGAGCAGTATCACAGCCCTCACACTTATCAAATGAGATCTGTGTGGCTCATTTATATTTTGTGCCTCCTTGTACCAATATCTATGTGTTGAAATAAAAATAAAAACTGTACGCTCTCCAAACATCCGTATATATTGTAGTTGCTGGCTGCAGCCAGTGTTACTGGTGCTTTTATTATCCATTTCGCGATAATTGTCAAATTTGCACTAGTTAGGAATTATATATGGGATTTTCATCAGCTATAATGCCACAAATCTATTTAGCCAAATGGATGAAATGTTTTCGTGCCCAAATCCGTGATGTTATGTTATACCTGATTGATTCGTCCACAAATTATAGTCTTGCCGTTTTATTTGTTATAGTCGCTCAATTATTACGTTTTGTACAAAATTCCGTGTGAACCCATCGTACGTTTGCATTAAGCACTGTAGTTGGCGCCTTAACCTTGAAATCTTTCAAACGTCTCTGATTGGCTCGTCCATAAATTTAAAGTCTTGCCGATAAATCTAGTAATATATTTCATTAGAGTTTTTATGTTCAAGATAGTCATCGAAACGTTCAAACAAAATGTCTAATTACAATCAATTGTTTTACAATTCACATCACTGACTAACCTTAATAAGACAACCATTCAACAATAGGAAGGATTAAACCATCATTTCGTTCTACTATATAGAATCTGTTAACTTTGTGTATCAATGATCTCATCATGAAACAAATTCAAAAATTTTAGATCAATACAATTATACCATAATCTCCGGTTTCTATTAGTTGTCTAACCAAAATCAATCTGTCATGTAAAGTAGACAATTGAATAATTTTTACACACAACCCCCCTCTATACTAATAAAATTCAATTGTTTTCTTCAATTCTTATTCATCATAAATTTATAATTTTTATATTTTTTTTTATTTTAATAGTGTTATTTATCAAACGATGAATTTGAACGTTTATTCAATATGTGTCCTGAAGTATTTCAACGTTTACCTGAATGGAAAAGAAATGATTTGAAAAAGAAATTAGATTTATTATAATGAATTCATTGAATTATAATTATGAATAATAGTTCCCTTAACAACTATAAATTAAATGATGATAAAGGAGAATAATAAGACTAAATGATTAAACTATTCCAAGATGTAATAAAACTAAATTATTGATTTTATTGATACAATATTTCAAAATCAATAAAATAAAACCACCACCCCTCTTTGTCTGTCAGTTCGTTTCTAATTAGATTCTTCTTATCATCTTTATTGAAATAATGTTTGAATAAAACTGAGGATATATATATATATATATATATATCAACTTCTTCTTGCTTTTTTGTTCATTATGTGCACAACATGTTGATGTTTGTCTTCTGCACTTCATTGTGTATGTATTCTTGAGAATCAATAAGAAATTGTACAATTTCCATCATCATCATCATCATCATCATCACAATCGATATAGAACACTGATCATAGATGCATTAAAATTGTTTAACAAAAAGAAATCAAAATTAAATTGATTCGATTTTTCTTTTTTTCTTTTTTTTTCTTGTCAAATTGTATTGTGTTGTATTTTTTGTTTCTCTTTTTCTTTTCTCTTTTTTCATTTTCTTTTTTTTTGTAAAATAAAATGTTTTTATTTTTACAAAAAAGAATACTGAATCCAATTTTTTTTTCTTCGTGTTGTATTTTGATTTTACTTCTTTATTCTAAGCATTCAAGTTATTTTATGGTCATTGAAAATGATTTCTATATTTCTAATGATCATTATTGACACTGTTAGATATGAATAATTAATGTATGATTGTGTCAAGATTTCTACATTGTTTACTATGAATAGAATAACAGCTTGTAATTCTGTTTGAGTAACTTTATAAAAAATGGAGTGGTTATATGTGTACAGTGCATATTATTATTATTATTATATAATCTTTATTATTATTACCATTACTATTACTATTAGTAATGTGCTTCATCTTAACCCTGGTTTTCATAGGTATTTACTCAATTACTCACATCGTATGTGCCTCTCTTCCTATATATATATAACTGTATTTCGTTTGTGATAACAAGATGTATCAACGTTAGTTTCTGTTCTATGTTGTTTTTTTTTGTTTAGTGTTCTTAAATTTGAACAATTGAACTCATTTCTCCTTTCATTCAAAGATCAATTCTTATTCTCTCTATTCTCAACACTTTTGTTTTTATATTTTCACATGATAACAAACACATATATATATATATATATATATATATATATATATATCGTCATCGTTTTGTTTGCTTTTGTACAGCTATTGTTCAATGTGTTGAGAATACTACTGAATATATATATATATATATAATTTCGGTTGAGTAAACTATAGATCTATTTCTTTTATTTTTAAACAAAATAAACAATTTCATTTCATCTTAAAGGAACTTTGAGAAAGAAAGAAAAAAACTGTAATCAACTAGTTATGCAAATGTATTTTATGTTATCTCTTTCTTTTTTTTTTCTTTTCTTTTTGTTTCTGAAAGAATGAATGTCACTCTTTATGGATATGTCAATTACCGAGATGTTATTGCTCAATCTCTTTAACGGTATACATATTCTACTTCAAAAAACAAAGTGTATACATGTCAAAGAATAATATGAAACTAAGAGGATAACATGAATCTATTCATTTATGCTTGTAATGACGTTGAATGAATTCATATATGCAAGTGTTATAAATATCTATGTTAATATTGGTTATCAATTGTTTACAAAGTCTTTCTCTGATATGATACTTTCTATCTTTGATGACTATTTCTTTTGCTTCCTAATTAAATTAGCTATTTATTTATGGTACACATTGCGCACATAGATCTAGACTATTACAGTGTATGTGAAGAAACACTTTTCAAGAATATACATATATATATATATCTTGAACTAGAAAAGATGATTCCTATACCATGAAGATAATTCTTAACTTTTTGTTTGATTAATTCAACTAACAATTTGTTCATCTATATTGGTATGCTTTATTTTAAACCTTTGAAGAATTTCTTTAGTAGTCTTTCGTTGTCATTAACGCTATTTCTTCAGTTGAACAGAAAACATTCTATGTCTTTTTCTGTTCGTTTCGATGTTGACTACTTATTCATTTTGTATTACTTAAAGTTAAGAAAAAGATCAGCTTTCTTGAATATATGCAAATACTCATTTACACGTAATACAATACCATTGCACATTTAGTAAACTCATATTGAATTCACATTTGATTTGATTTCTGTGTGTGTGTGTGCTTTATTTTTTCCCAACCTCTTAGAAGATTGTGCTAAACCTACTGTGTTCATGATGTTGATGCATTTTCTTTTAGTTGGTTCTTGTTACCACCTCCTTTTTTTGTTCTCAAACAAACAAACAAAAAAAAAAAGAAAGTTGCGTCTTTCTCTTCTTTTGGCTAAATTTTATTTGCTAATCTTACTTTTATCTGTTATTCTTATTGTTATTGTTGTTGTTGTTGTTCTTGTTGTTGTCTATTTTGATTGTTAACTTATATGAATACTGAACAAACAAAAAAAAAGAAAAGAAAATAGAGAAATATAATTATCAAAATAATAAAGAAAAAAATAGTCAGAGAATAATGAAAAAAAAGCGCGTTTTTTTTTCTTTTTGTTTTATACAAAAAAAATTTAAATCGAATGCCAAAATGCGGTTTTTATTTCTTTATCATTTATATTGATCAATTGAAATGTTACTGCAAACCTTTCAACTCATTTATCATTAAAAGACATATTCACTTGGAAATAAGATAATTAAGGGTTCACACGATTCCGTTGAAAGACGAATAGATCATACTAAATAATGTTAAATGATATTCGTAAATAGAAACATTTAAGATTTCACGTAATAATCATTGTTTTTTAACACATAACTGCCTCCAAATGCCCTGGTACAGCCGAGAGTGGGGACAGTCCGCTTTCCCTCTCCAACTGCTCTCACATGGCCACGCGTATATAGCCTCTACCAGGGAAGTCCTGCTCACTGCCTTCTCGTGGCGGGGGTGTTGTTTACGGAAATGAGAGGACGAAAAGCAAATATTCGGCGCTTTAACCGGATCTCAAACCAATAGTGTACATGGGTTTCAGTAACCTGAAGAAATAAATTGTGTATGAACCAATTGTTGGTCACCGGTTACCATGGGACTGCATTTCCCCACGATGCTCCACTGCCTTGTGGGTCAGACCTTTACGTCAAGGGCTCGGGCTGTAGCCCCCTAAGAAAACCACGTAGTTCGGTTTGGGCACCCGTGAAGTATCACAGCTCTCACACATATCCAATAAGGTCTGTGTGGTGTATGTGTATTTAGTGCCTCGTACCAATATCTATGTGTTAAAATAAATAAATAACACATAAGTAATAGTTATATCAATGAAGTTGTCAATTCTGGAAGTAAATTGAAACTAACTTCGAATTTATATTTGATATGTTATTAAATGAACCTGTAATCACTTGATGTTGTTTACTTGAATCTTTCAATTGTACATTCAACTGACGAGTCCCAAATAGGACGAAACGTACGTACTAGATTCCACTGCTGGCCACTATTCCATCTTTGCTTAATTGTGAATAGATATTCTTAGAGACAAGTTTCAATTTTTCATGTGATATAAAAATAGTTTTGATGGTGATTTCTATTAAATTAATTACAGCTAGTAGTTTATTATCGATTGAAATTATTGGGAATTGAGAAGTTGTACAAATGTATACTTAGATTATTATCAGTATGGAGATTGTAGTATTTTCACATTTGAATTCAGTGACTAGTATCAAGATAGAATTCCTACAGTTCTAATATGAAACCATGACCAGCGGAGTCTAATCTGTGTGGGATGTGAGATAGTTATTCACCTCATACAATAGATCATTGATCGATTGAAGTTGAACATTAACACCATTGGATTCCGGCTCAGTGGTCTAGAGGTTAGGCGTTCTCACTCAATACCATAGGTATTAATATCATTGGTTAGAAAGCATTAGAGTTGTATATATGAAAGATAAGTGTTCGTGAATATATATCATAATGCTTAAATATTTCAATAACACAATTGAATATAACTAATGATTGACAAGCAATAAGCTTGTTCTTGTTTTTAATCTTGATATTCTAACATTGTTTTCTTTAACAGGAAATACTGAATAATTTAAAGTTGTCTGATTATGTATTTTAATTTATATAAAAGTCATTCATGTGTAAATACACTGAATGTAACTGACTATATTATCTAAAACAATTGTTTATTCATTGTTTTAAACCATATTTGTCTCAATAATGAACCAGGGGACTTAATAAATTAAAAGAAAGATTCCACTTAAGAAAGAACAAGGATATCGACGTTCTGCTGTGTGATGACAGACCACAAGTGAACTCGAGGAATTTGTAATAGACTCATAAGGAGCCGAAGATATTCCATCCAATCATCTTTTGGAAGAATGTTCTAGAATTTCTACGTGTTGCTTCCCCATTGGATAATGCTAATAACCCATTGTGTGCAGATTTGAGGACTGTAATGACGATTTCGTTCTTGTTAAAAAACTATAAATACCTGACAATTTTGTACTATAATTGACACTGTTTGGAATAATATTCCTTTGATTAGTCTTCTGTTTTCTCCTTATGACTTGGAAGGGGTTTTGGCATTCTAGTGCTCAGTTATACCTTCTAGATATAACACGCTGCCGCAAATGAATTTATCATTCAGCATGTTAATCCAAATCAAAACTACAGTCATCGCAGCAAATATATTATTTATAACAAGCTATTCATAAGTTCCTTCAGTTAGTAACTTAAGTCCAAAATGAGGCAACAAGCTCAAGTTAGCAACTCAACAGCGGGGTTTTTGTAGTGGGTCGATTTTCTCATTTATGGGGTTTTTCAAACTACCTTTTAATCATCTCTGAAATTTGGCAAACAGGTTACCAAAAGCTACTTATACTTTACTCCGGTATTCTGAATAAGAAACATAAATATAAAGCACTGAAATGAAAATACAGAAAGCCAAGACAATAATGCTATTCCTGAAAATTTCTTATAAATGTAACACAAAACCTGGAGTGTTTTAAGACTATTCGAAATAGTGAATGTTTGTCTTCCGTGCTCCATACAAACATAAAGGACTTCATGAAATAAACACAAGTTGCCTATTTTCATTATCTTCGTGTTGGGGACGATAGATCCCCAGAAACCCACATTTTGTAATTTTTATCTTATCGATTGAATATTTGGATGGTAGTCAATTGACGAACGTATTGATGAATGTTTAAAAATTTATATGACAATATCGATTTTATATATTTGTATAAATACGCTTGATTTGTGTGTCTGATTGATCTGGTATCTGCTGGTTGCCTATAGAATACACTTTCTACGTCTTACCAAGACTTCTTGATCTAGTTAACTGAGTCGGGGACAACGGAGCAGAATAGCCTATCGACTATCTGAATCCTTCGTTCCGTTCGAGTAAGACGAATCAGTAGTAGCATTCAAGCTTAACCAAACCTAACACTCAGTATGGGTATTCATTTGTTGAACTGTTCTTCTAGGATTAATTTATAAAAATACTACTAGGTAAGTTCATCAGTGCACTTCTCAACATCATCTTCCATAGTTTGGAAAAAAAAGCCGAGCGATACATTGTTCGACACTTCCACACGTAGTTCATACTGAAATTTTGTAGGTTGCTTCTTTTAGGATTATTACTAGCCTGAACTTCTTTAACCAATAGCTGAGAAAAAGACGCCTCAATCGAAATTCTGATATATTCTTGAGTTCTAGTACGCTAGTCTGCCTGAATAATTACATAACCCATCCAATAAAAAACCCAGGCTAACACGAGTAAACTCTTATCAATATGTTAAAATTAATAAATTACAACTAATATTGTAGACTGTACCCATACATATTGTAGTGCATCCGTTATTCACCTAGAATACACACATAATTGAAGTATGTTTTAAAAAGTCATACAGAAGCACCTAACAGTCTATTGCTTAATTGAAATACTATGGACTACCTTTGGGCAAGGTTATTTACCAATTTTTCAATGTTTAATGTTTATGCAATATCAGGCATCTTCCCTTTCACTTAGTGGATGAATCGTGAATATAGGAGGATGATATATTATGAAGATTTCTATTTCAGGATGCTATCCAATAGTGACACGTTTATAACAGACAAAAGTGAATAACCTGAGATGTTTTAAATGAAATCTCCAGTGAAAAGTATGCTCTTGTATCATTCATAAATGAGTGGGAAATTGCCAGAAAATGCGTGATCACTCACATATTATTAAACATTGAAAAACAAGAGTACAACTTCACTAGCTATTTAATATTTTTATCAAAAGGGATTGTGTGGAGATTTTAGAAATTTCACTGATTGAAATCATGAATCAATTGAAGCTAGACCATCATGGAAAATTTGGAAGCACTGAACGGCCTTTTCGTCCTAGTATGGGACTCCTCAGCAGTGCGCATCCACGATCCCGCTCCCCCCCCCAGCGAGATTCGAACCCAGAACCTATCAGTCTCGCGCCAGGCGCTTAATATTTATTTAACAACATTTTTTAAATATATTTAATGACTCGTTCCATATAATTCATCCCTTCATTTATTTTTTTTATAAAATTCAACTCTCTCCTTTTCCATTTAGTTTTATTTAAGAACTAGTGAGCTTGAAATAAAACTCCGTGTTGAAACTTTTCGATTATTACAGCAATGGCAATCACAAATAGCTTAGTTGTTCAAGTCAATTAGTTATACATAGTTAATTGAGTTAACCTAATTTTTGGATTGAATACTCATAAACCTAACTAATATAAACAGCGTTAATAAAGTGCTGATTAGTAAGAAAACTACCTTCATGATAATAAACCCCCCCTCCCGCCAAAAAAAAAATACTGAACGTTCATTCTCGTTTTTGGAAATAAGCTTATATATAGAATAGAATTTATACACTGATTCAAACATTCAGTAACTTGATATGGTCATAAATGAAAATATAACATGACAGACACTGCTCAATAGGCCTAACATCTTAAATTTAGGCAAATGACATTTACTTTAACAATGAATGGTTGTTGGAATGAACATCTATACAACAGAGATAGTACGCTTTGAAGAGTAAAATAGTGTATCATTTTAGATATGAAGAGTATCACTAGGTACAAACAATTTTGAGTACCTACAATTAAAGAACGAATGATGGAACTTCGTTATCATATGTTCATTTGTATAGGTTGTTTGGATTTTGCTATAGATGTTAAGAATTGAAAATGATCAGTCTCATATTGGTATATGTGCATCCTGTGTGAATGGCCTTGATCATTTCTTCAGTCACAAACATAGTATTCTAAACATAAATAGGAAGATTCAAATAATCAATACGAATGAATTAAACTACACGCCATCTCACAACCTATAGCTATATGAACTCAGTGAATATCGCGGCGGCATTTGAAGAGAAATGTACTAATTTTAAGTCTCAGAGTGAACATCAACTCTGGGATGCAGGCATATCGAGACAAGGAGTCCTAAATAGGAAGAAACGCGCGTCCTGGTTTCCACTACTAGCCATTGTCGATCTCTGCTTTCTAGCTGTCATAGGTTTTTGATATCTGTAAGAAAAGTTAGGGAAGGAAAATACCTTTAAATGCAATCGAAAAAACATGGTGAACCAAAACACCTATAATTTTCAGTCCCTAAATAATACTTGAGCTAAATTTTTTGTCCAAGAATATTTCCCA